AACACAGAGATAGAGAGAGAGAGAGAGAGAGAGAGAGAGAGAGAGAGAGAGAGAGAGAGCAGGCCGGCATGCTGGCCAGCGATGGTCCCGATGGGCCTTGCGATGGCCCCGCCGTGGCCGCGGCCCAATGCAACCGCCGCGAGCCCGAAGTCGGCCGTGGAGGTTAATCTTCGGGAGTTCCCCAGCGCGGAGAATCGGCCACGGGTGCCGAGGCAGACGAACAGCCAGCGAGCATTCGGCGCTTGCCGGCGCATCGCCGCGGCCGCGCTTGCGCGCTCAGGCTCGCGGGCAGATCGGCCGGGAGATTTGGCGCGACTGGCGCGGCCGCGGCGGCGCTGACCGCGGGGGGCTTCCCAGCCTTTTTCGCGCGCCGCGCTGGCGCGCGCGGGCACTCTCAACGCGAGTCGCGACTCGGTCGGGCGCGGCACCATGGCGACGTCGATTTCGGCAGAGACGAGAATGATTACAACGATGCCTGCGGCGACGATGACGGCGACGACGCCGAGGACTGCGTCGAATAGGACGCAGAGAAGCTGCGCACCCGCATAAACGACGACATCCTGATCAGATTTCGAAAGGCGCGCCGAGGAGTGCGGTGTGCGCATATGGCCCCCCTTGCATGTTTCGACACATGCGGTGGGCGCGCGATGGCGGTTGAATTTTCCAGTCGCGCGCGAGTGGCCCGCGCGGTCTGCATTGACCGAGTGGCTACAACAACGCGTGCGTTTTATGATTTCAGCGATTGCTCGCCCTCAGAATTATGACAAGGTTTTGATCGGAAAACCAGAGGCTTCTGATAGCGCGTGGCTGGCCAAGCCGCGACAGCGACGCTCGGTCATAACGATGTTGACAGAAGTTGACGCGCGCGCACGTGCCCGCGACGTTTTGTTCTGTAGCAGGGCTTGGCGGCAGCAGCAAGTCACACGTCAGCGCACGCGCGCCGCGTCGTCTTGTTTGATTGGGGCGAGAATGGTGGTCGACATTGGCTCGGCTCCTTCTTAGAAGAATGGGCGACCGTACATAAGAAACATTTGAACCCAATGCCCCGAGGGGCCTCGCTAACCCCCGCCTCGCAGGGACAATAAAATCTGACCCGTTTCGGAAGGGAGAAATCACCCTGCTAACATCCGCGCGTGACCACCTTCAACGCTGACGCACACACCCCACCCATCGACCTGCAATTGGACGGCTAAATTCAAATGTCGCCATGATGAGCGGGGCCCTTTTTTCACGCAGATCCGCGATTCGGGCAGGCGGGCGCCGACGACGGCAATCACGGCGGCGGCGATGACGACGAGGGCGACGACAACGACAATGACGACGATGGTGTTGATGACGACGGTTGGGGCGATGGCATCAACGACGGTAAACGATGAAGATAGTAGTGATGTTGGTAGCAATGACGACGTTCACGATGATGATAACGACGGCGTCACAGGCGACGACAACGATCACGAGGATGATGTTGGTGACGATTTGGGGGATCGCGACGGCGATTGTGATATAGCTACGAAGATGGTTGATGCTGACGGTGTCAATGGTGTTGCGGGCCGCGGTGATAACGATAGCGTCGACGAGGATGGCGAGGAAGTGCGCGCGCGGGAATCCTGATGACAACACTTTGGAAGTTAAGTTTAGCCTCGATGCGAATTAAGCACTCTAATGTTGAAGCGTTTAATCTAATGGTTTCGACGAGATTCGGGCGCGCGCGCGCGCGGAGACGGGCACGCGCGACCCGCGCGTCGTCGCGTAGCAGAGTCAGGCGGACACACGATGATTGCTGAGTGGTTTTGACATGCGCGCGCGGCCCGCGCGATTTCACCCGGCAGAATTGCCACAGACGTTTGGCGATCGTATGCGCTCAGCAAAGTGCACGCGCAGAAATCTGGCACATTGTTGTCGTTGCAGCAACCAAGGGGTGCATAGTTCTTAAAGACATTATCTCGCTCTCTCTCTCTCTCTCTCGCTCTCTCTCTCTCTCTCTCTCTCTCTCTCTCTCTATTTCTCTCTCTCTCTCTCTCTCTCTCTCTCTCTCTCTTTCTCTCTCTCTCTCTCCCCCTTCTCTCTCTGTCCCTCTCTCTCTCTCTCTATCTCTCTCTCTCTCTCTCTCTCTCCTCTCTCTCTCTCTCTCTCTCTCGCTCTCTCTCTTTCTCTCCTTGTCATTCCCAACCAACCTGCGTTGTTGGGTCCTCGTTTTGAAGAGACGGCCCCCGCGCGCCTCCGCCCCCCCCCCCCCTTCCCCCCCCCCCCCCTCCTCTCACCATCAACATCATCATCATCGTCATCGTCGCCATCATCATCATCAACACCCGCATCATCACCCCCCAGCACAGCGCCTCGTGGCCCCACGGGGAGCGCCACCGAAGGCCCCCGCGGCGCAGTCCGCACGCGCCTCCCCCACCCAGCACAGCGCTTCGTGGGCCCCATAAGGGCGCCACCGAAGGCCCCCGCGGCGCAGTCCGCATGCGCCCCCCTCACCCAGCACAGCGCTTCGTGGCCCCATCGGGGGCCCACCGGAGGTCCCCGCGGCGCAGTCCGCATGCGCCCCCCCCGCCCTGCGCAGCGTTTCGTGGCCCCATCGGGGTTCCACCGAAGGTCCCCGTGGCGCAGTCCGCATGCGTCTCCCCCACCCAGCACCGCGGTTCGTGGCCCCGCGGAGAGCGCCACCGGAGGCCCCCGCGGCGCAGTCCGCATGCGCCCCCCCTTCCCGGCACAGCGCTTCGTGGCGCCATATGGGGGCTCCACCGAAGGTCCCCGTGGCGCAGTCCGCATGCGTCTCCCCCACCCAGCACAGCGTTTCGTGGATCCGTAGGGGCGCCACCGATGGCCCCCGCGGCGCAGTCCGCATGCGCCCCCCCACCCAGCACAGCGCTTCGTGGCCCCTCAGGGAGCCCCACCGAAGGTCCCCGCGGCGCAGTCCGCACGCCGCCCCCCCACCACCACCACCACCGCCACCACCACCACCACCGCCACCACCACCACCACCACCCCACCACCACACCAGCACAGCGCTTCGTGCCCCATAGGGCCCCACCGAAGGTCCCCGCGGCGCAATCCGCATGCGTCTCCCTCACCCAGCGCAGCGCTTCGTGGCCCCATAGGGAGCGCCACCGAAGGCCCCCGCGGCGCAGTCCGCACGCGCCCCCCCCCCCCCCCCCCCCCTCCACACACCACACACACACACACACACACACACACACACACACACACACACACACACACACACACACAACACACACACACACACACACAACTCACTACAGCGCTTCGTGGCCCCACGGGGGCTCCACCGAAGGCCCCCGCGGCGCAGTCCGCAGGCGCCCCCCTCACCCAGCGCGGCGCTTCGTGGCCCCATATGGAGCCCCACCGAAAGTCCCCGTGGCGCAGTCCGCACGCGTCTCCCCCACCCAGCACAGCGCTTCGTGGCCCCATAGGGAGCTCCACCGAAGGTCCCCGTGGCGCAGTCCGCACGCGCCCCCCCCACCCGGTACTGCGCGTCGTGGCCCCATAGGGAGCTCCACCGAAGGCCCCCGTGGCGCAGTCCGCATGCGTCTCCCTCACCCAGTGCACCTCCGTCGGAGGCCGTCGGAGTTCCGCGCCTCGCTCGCCCGTCGTCGCTCTGCCCAGCGGCAAGAGCCTTGCCCACTATCAGCCAGCCAGCTAGCTAGCTCTCTTTGCTCCGCGCAGCGGACGACCCGCGCGCGTCGCTGGGACTCCTCCGGGGCAACCTGCGCGCGTCGCGGGGACTCCGCGCTGCGCTGTACCCGCAGCCTTGGATTTTTGAGTGCGCGGGCAAATAGGGAGTAAAAGAAGGGGGAAGCGGGCGCGATCCTCGCGGGGGGGCGCGCCGACATTGGCGTCGCGGCGCGCGTGCGATGCCATCGGGGGGCCCCGGGGAAGCTCCGTGCGGCGGCCACGCCCAGCGTCACGAGTACTCAGAGGCAGTCATTTTCAAATTATTGAGATTCATATACACTTAAGCCATGCTTTGTCATACTCGCACTCATGCACGTAGACTCGCTCGCACGCAGATTCATTCACAGTCAGACGCAGTCGCGCTCAGATTCACCTGCGTCTTCAGCCTCCCTACGTACTGAGATGAATCGTTGTCGTTCGCGTTGTGTACCACGCTACTCACGTCGGCACACCCTTAGCACGGTTCGTTGCCTCATAGGGATCTCCACCGAAAAAGTGAATCACAATTGCGGTACTCACACCTGCATATGGTCGGGTCCGTCGTCAGGCTAATGTTTGTGTTGTCTCTCTCTTTCTCTCTCTCTCTCTCTCTCTCTCTCTGTTCTCTCTCTCTCTCTCTCTCTCTCTCTCTCTCTCTCTCTCTCTCTCTCTCTCTCTCTCTCTCTCTCTCTCTCTCTCTCTCTCTCTCTCTCTCTCTCTCTCTCTCTCTCTCTCTCCCCCCCCCCCGATATTTTTATATATGCACCCACATCTTTATATAAATAGATGTGTATATGGACTGGACTTGTGATGAAAACGAATTTCCGACTGATCATGACATGCCCGTGCGCGGGGCGCGTCAGTGCGGCCCCTATTGGCCGGTGTTCTGACACAACGCATTTGTTGTATCAACGTGTGTGCACCGCATGGTATTACATTGCAGGGCGCGAAGGGAGAATGCGGTAGCACGTCGGCTGGCATGGCGTGGTTCGATATTGAAGAACAATGGACGTGGAGAAAACGATTACAACAACCATACGCGGAAAAAAGGAGCAGGCAACCCCGCCTTCGGTGGGAGGCATAATCGATTTTGATGTGAGAAGCACATATATGTATGTAGTTATATATATATATATGTAAATATACGCACTACATAGATGATGTGCAGCATTTAGAGGAGCAACATGTGGTGTGCAATCTATGCGGTGCAGTCGACTACGAGTCGTTGCAGGCTGACGTATGTTATCGAGTGGAGTTCCCGTGCAAGTGCATGTTCGTGGTCTCGGTGGGGGGCCTGCGCCGCGCGAGATTCGCCATTCCGCGAGGACGCGGCGGTGACATCAGCATTCGACAGCCTCGACGCGCAAGACGCCGCGGGCAGCCGGTCGGCGCTCGCCCAGGAGACTTCTTACCGAGCGGCACGGTTTTGGGGATCGAAGCGTTCGAGGGTCGAGGTTCACAGGGGCTCCGATTGGACGGGGACGGGGACGGACGGACGGACGCCACAAATCGCGCCGGGGCGCGGCCCTCTAAAAGCGCAGCGGGGGCGCCGGTGCGCCGAACTTCCAAGCTGGAATTCCTGCACACAATTCTGATCCACTATATTTGTGTTATATCCGAAATCTGCGGGCTCATCAAATCTGGGGCTGGAGTTGGCCAGGGGGAGGGGAACGTCGGATCCCCTTCGCGAATTCGTCGCTAGTCGGGGCCAGGGTGCCCATCCCTGGCCAGGAACGCGGCGTTTCGCTGATCGGGGGCCCATCGCCGATCTATCGGCAATGCATTTCCGATTCCAAGCAGGGCTTTTCACCCTGTGCCAGTCCCCCATGTCGTCCCCCCATCCAGTCTTCGAAGTCCTGGATGATCGAAGGTCGAACTGCTTCACACTTGTTGGCCCTTTTCTGGGCCTCTGGAGGCCTCCAGTGGCCTCCGGAGACCTCCGAGAATCGCAGGACCTCGGGATCCAGGCGTTTGGGGGCCTTCCTGGTCTGGAGCGCCCTCGTCGCCACGGCTTAGATTCCCCTCTGCATTGTGGTCAGGGGGTCGGCCGACAGGGCCCTGAGAGGTGCCGAGAACGTGGGAGATCCCGAAGAAGTCTCCGAGAGACCCCCGGCAAAACCTTCAAATCCGAGGCCTGGGCCAACAAGCGTTTTCCCGCGTGCACCAACAGCAACCCAGGAGCACCCAACAAGAACAATCGGCAGGGTCCCAAGAGGCCCCCCGACACCCTCAGATCCAAGGCTCCGTCCAAAGCCACGTGGGGGCAGGGGGAGGGTCGAATCCACCATAGTGGAAACAGTGATTCCTCTCGCTCCGCGGGGTGCACGTCCGGAGTACGAGTACGTGTAGTGAAAGTCGTTTTGGGGGTTCTCGGGAGTTTCGTGGGGCCGTCTTGGGGACGTTTTTGGGGCCTCTCCCCCCTCCCTCCTTTTCGCACTCCCTCCCCATATCCCCATCCAGCGCCAGCACTGATCATGGGCGCCGCCGTGACCAACTTCACCTGGCTGGCGCTGCGCCGCACTTCGCCCAGGGGGGGGAAATGACAGTACACTCCAGTCGCTGGGTGGGTTTGGGGGAGCTTTCTGTGGGGCCTTTTGGAGGTTTTTTGGCTACTTTTTGGAAGCCTTTTGGGGGTTCCTTGGGGCCCCTTGGGGGCGTCTTGGGGGCCTCTTGGGGCCTCTTGGGGGCGTCCTGGGCCGTTTTGGGGCGTTTTTCTTCCGTTTCGCCTCTTCGGAGGCCGTCTTGGGGGGCTCTCGCGGCCGCCTTGGGGCCCCCTTGAAGTCCTCCTGGGCAGTCTTAGGGGCCTCTTGGACCGTCTTGGGGGGCTCTTTGGGCCGTTTGGGGGCCCTCTTTTGGGCCGTCTCGGGGCCCTCTTGGGGACTTGTTGGGTTGTTCTGGGGCGATTTTGGAAGCTGTTTGGGCCGCGACGGCGAGAACGCTGAAATATCGCCAAAACCATAGGACAATCCACGACTTTGGAGGCGCAGTTGTGGGCGCTTTTGGGGCCCTCTTGGGCCGTCATTGGGCCTTTTGGGGCCCTCTCATAGTGGACCCGACCCCTTGGGGCGGCAGTACGAGTGAAAAACGGAGTTTGCGGAACAATTTCTTGGGAATCTTGGGGTTCCAGTTTCTTGGGATTTCGTCGGGGGCGGTTGGCGGGTCGCCGCTCTTCTCTTGGGCTTCTCTGGGTTTTCCTGGCGGCATTTTTGAAGCCTCTTGGGAGTCGTTTTGAGGCCTCTAGGAGCCTCTTTTGGGCTTCTCGGGGGCCTCGTGGGACCCTATTGGGGGCTTACTGGCGCCTCCTCCGGTTTTTTCAGGGCCGAGTGCTCGACATGTTATTCGGATTCCCCCTTCTGGGCCTCCTATTGGGGCCGTCCTGGAGCCCTCCTGGGTCGTTTGGGAAGTTTTTGGGGCCGTCTTGGAGCCCTCTTGGGCCGTCCTGGAGCCCTCTTGGGAGCCTCTTGGGTTATCTTGGGTCGATCTTAAAGGATTATTGGGCCGTTGTGGGCCTCGTGAAAGCCCAAGAGGCGGGTGTGCTAAAAGTTCACGCTGTTCCTAAGGAGTGGGGCCACTTTTGCATCTGGAGGGCCTCTTGGTACGCCTCTTGGTGGCTTCTTGGAAGCCTCTGGGACCGTCTGGAGGCGATCTCGGGCGTCTTGGAGCGATCCCTCGCGACTCGTAGCCCTCTTGGGCCGTCGGGGGCCTTTTGAAGCCCCCTTGGCCCGTTCTGGGGCCCCCTGAGGTTCCAAGGGCGCGGCTGACACCTTTGCCCCCCCTTCCAAACCGGCCAGGCCAGGCCCCTGGGGGAGGGGTATTTTAATGTGAGTTGGGACACAGGCGAGAGGTAACGAGCGTGTGTCCGCGGCCGTTTATGCTCAAGCGGCCAGCCGCCCAGATCTGACTACACCTCAGCGCGAGGTGAACCATTTGCCATCGAGACCAAAACGCCATTTGCTTGAGATGGTTCGTCGCTCCCGCGACGATCTCCTACTACTGGGACTATCGCTACGACGGTACAACAAAGCTGGAGCTGGGTGTCGCCTTAGGCGAAGCTGCTGGTTGGGCGGCCTCCGAATGACCTCCAAACTTGGTAGCGGGGCTGGCCTATTGCGGTCAGCTCTCGCTCTACTCCTCACCATCCACAGCACTATCTGGTGGACTGCTGACATGGTGGAACATCAGGGTGCGTGGGTCTGCGCGGAGGATTGTACATAACTACCCACAACCGCAAGGACACTTGCAGTGATATCTGTGCCCACGCAGAGGCCTCTTACTCGAGCCCTACATCCCTGCGCTACTCCACTCCTGACGTCCACCCACCTAGTCCAATTGGAAACTTCTTCGAAGACACAACGCATGGAAACATGCGATGCGACGTTGCGCCGCCCCCACCCCCACGCAGGCTCACGGTCACACACACCACAAACCCCAACCAACCACATCCGATTACGACCTACGAGGCCATTGGATTGGCAGAACTATCTCTGGGCTCATATGGGCGGCTATCGGGCGCGCGGTGGGACACATGCGCGGCGGGGGCGACGCAAGAACCACCGGCCCCCATTGGGACCCGGCCGGTCAAGGACCTATCCGCGAATTCGCTCGCGAGGTGCATGCCTGGATCAACGTGACCACAGGCACCATGACGCCCTCCCAACAGGCTGCAACGTTGCAGCGAGGCTTGCGAGGCCTCGCACGGACCATTGCCATGAGAGCTCCCCCAGCAGATATCAATTTCGGCGTTAACATAGGCGACCGCCATACCCATGGCGCCAGCATCATCATGTTCCTCTCAAGGACGAAGTTCGAGAACCTAGAAGAGGAACGCCAACTCAACTCTGGCACAGCTTTGATTGGCTTCCGAGTCCATGCGGGAGAACGGATCGACCAGACTTTGACGCGCTTCGAGATAGCCCGCTATGAAGCTGAAACGGCAGGCTTCAACATCCCCAACCTCCACATTCGAACAGTCCTTTTATTCAGAGCCTTAGGAGTGGGGACGTCGCGCGCACAACAACTCCTACAGCCTCTGAACCACCGCATGCCGAGGGCCAGCAACAATCTGACTCTCCGCTTGCACGCGCGAGGTCACATGCCCACATCGCTGAGAGACCCCCCGGCAATATTGGCGGCACTTTCAGCCGCGGTCACCGCGCCGAGACTTTTCGCTGAGTAACGCAGGCCAACCTGCTGATCGACGTCGATCCAGAGGACCAGCAGCAACCGCCGCAGCAGCTGCATTTCAGGGCGCCCGCACTCCTACTCCAGAGAAGCCCGCGGCGCGCCGCGGCCCTGCGCCGGGCCGGTCGCGCGGGACTGGCCGGGCGCCGACGCTGGAGGGATCGTCGAGGGACGCCTCTTCATCAAGGCGCGGTGCCAAGCAGAGATTGCTGGGAACTACGCCAAAGGCATCAGGGGCAGCCCCCAAAGACAAGAAGCGCGAGCACTACAACATCAGTGAGAAGAAACGCCAGGACTTCGACATGCATGCGCATCGCCAGGCGCACGGAGATCGACCCTCGCATCACCCCCATATCGATGACGGTCGTAATCGATACATCGCGGCGACGTGCAACATCAGAGATACTGCCGCCACTGCCGAGGAGGACGCTCACACGCGTCAGGCTGTACGCAATCTCCCACGTGGACGCAATGCTCTCACTCATCAGTCCGAGAAGAGCCACTTGATGGGGATCCTCAAGGATAGAGCTGCTGGACCAGACTTGGACTTTGAGCAGCGCTGCTGCTCAGAGTGCCTCATTACCGCTTCTCGCCATAAACCATTTCACCACCACCATCACTCCGATTGGTTTCTGAAAGCAGTACCGTCTTCCGACGAATTCGATGGATGGGTGGGGCTCTCGGAGCTGCTCAACGAGTGGCCACCTGAGGGTTGTGAGCGCTAGCGCCGCAGCCATTTGGGGACGGCCCGGCGTTGTCTCGGCGACCGCCGTTGGGCATGTATTGACTGTGCTGAACTTGATCGGCATGGTTGACGATGCTGGCATACAGAAAAGCAGGTTACAGATCAAGAAGTTCAAGTTCGCTACGGGGACTCATGACACGCATTTCATTCGCCCAAGTAATGGACACAGCAGTCCTGGGATAAAAGGGCCTTGAGTCCTTGTTTCTGAGGATAACTGATTTGACCATTCCAGGTGCACATTGTTATTCCATTCACGGTACCCATTGGGAGAATATCTCGGGTATACTTCGCACGAAACTGTCATGCCGCGCCGACGACACCTCCAATACAAGAGGCAGACAGTTAGTTCATGGTTGTCCATATCTACTTGGTAATAACAGGATCTAGTCCGGCCTGCGCGTCGATTCCGAAGCATTGCTTATGGTTGGTTTGAAAAATTTGCTTCGCTATAGTATGGCTATCTGGCGCTCAGAA